TCATCATCTTACTGTTGAAATGGCCAGATGTAACCGTAGGTTCTATAATAACAGTTTCTTCGCTCGGACATTGTGAAACTCTCTCCATACTTCTTGCTTTCTAGTCAACTTTGATCTCCAAAAATTTAAATGCAATGTCAATCGTTATCTTTTGTCATCATAATTCTTATTCTTTTATTGATCTCTCTCATTGTATTGTTTTCTCATATTCTCTCATGCTGTGTATCCAACTGCGTCTTAGCGTTTTTTTTTGCCTTGCTTGGAAGTGAAAAGATTTTTTAAAAAATCATGAGAGTATTCGTTCGAATGTAAATAATACACGTAAGGCTATAATAGTTGGTCTCTTTAAGGTTCGAATTCTATAGCAGACATCGATATGTCGAACCCTTCCTTTCTTCAGGTGTCTATAGACATTGCAACCCAAAATCAAATGTATAATTTGACCTTACTTAAACACTATTCGTATTACTAGTACGGCAGCTATCACGTATGCTGTCAAATTGTTTGTCTGTTTTTAAGTAATTGCACGGTCAGTTGATCCAGTTGTCGGCAAGCAGTAAAAGCCAGTCACATTCAATACGTCGGAGCCTGAGTTTTGTGCTTGGTAGGAATCAATTTGATCGGGAGGCGCCTTGAGTATTGATTTCGTAAGCAACTACGGTCCGGGCCAAACTTTGATTAACAATAACTGGCGTCACGTTCGATCGATGTTTGTTTTTGGTGTCCGCTCGCCAGATGTCGCTGCTTGTCAGACGCACAAGACACTCAACACTTGCGCCATTTTGGTCACTGGATTCAAAATGGCGACGGAATAATTGGAACGAAATTGGCGGTCGGAGGAGAAAATCGATAAATCGATCGATAAGTTGATCGAAGGGATTAAAATAAGACGAAGTGACATGTCAGCGAAAGCCATATTATGGCAGTTGTTTCGAGTTTACGCGGTATATCTCGACAGCTATGGGAATTTCCTTCCGCAAAATATTTAGGTAGCGGTGGCGGGGGTGGTGTTTGAAACGTGCGGACAATCGCAATTGTTTAATCCTATTTCGCTATAACAGATTCAATTTTAAATACGAGGCCTGTTGCCAACATTTTCAAGATTTTTGACAACAGACCTCGATATTAGAAATATATATATATATATATATATATATATATATATATATATATATATATATATAATAGATTTCTAGTACTGCCAAATCTAATCAGACATTTGAGGAATAAAAAATATGGGATCATATTAAACATAAGATACAACAATATTCACGTTTAAAACATGAAATGTAATGTACCTTTCGACCGACACATTTTCAAACACAATCGTCGGTAATCTAAAACAGAGTACTAACAAGAAAATTTTTTATTAATACCGTAATAAAACAGGATGGTAAGGGGGAAAAAATTGTTTTGCCTCAAATATATATATATATATATATATATATATATGGTCTGGGACAAAAGTTTTATGAAGAAAAAAAAAAGACCTGAGTCATTCTTAGATAAAAAAAATTGCCAAGATAATTTCTGAAGTTAAAGGAAATAGTTATATCAGTGAAACAGAGTCTAGCATGTTATGTTCGGAGCAAAGTATACCATCAACATCAATGGGTCATTTAATGCCTTCCACAAATTTATAAAAAAAAAATCCCCTCAAATTCCTCCCCTACCCACGATTTATAGTAGATATAAATGTTGTATAGGAAAAATCTCTGAGTGGCTAGACGGTTTTTTTTTTATCCCCCTGTAGAAAAACGGTTTTCGTTTTAGGTCCGGGATACATTTGATTTTATTTCTAAAACAAATAAATTTTCAGAACGAAAAAAATGATTTTCATGACTGCTGTTTGCTCACCATAGATGTCTCGTCTTTTTTTCTCCAAATATTGATCAATGTGAATGGACGCCACAATGCTTTTGAGAAACGCAAAAAACAAAACCATTCCGTCAAACTTTCTCTGTAGACTTACAAGTTTCGTCTTGCAAAGCATCACGAAGAAGTTTGGGAAAAAAGTTTTTCCACCAAATCAAAGGATGTGTCGTTAACATTTCGAATGACTTTGTGACAAATTTCGAAGAAAAATTACTTGAAGCTTTCAAATAACAACACTGCCATAAACCAGAACTTTGCGCTTTTTAGATGATATGATATTTTCTTCATCTGGGAAGTTACGCAGGAAATTTTGTTTTGCGCAAAAGATAAAAAATTCGTTCACAAATAAAATGTACATTTAGTTTCTCCAAAGCTAGAGTTGAATTTTTAGACACTAGAGTAAACATTTCAATAAATCATCTAATGATTTAATTATTTTGCACACTACGTCATCAGATATTTACCTACACCACCATTTTGATTATGCTTATCACACGATAAAATCAAACCCGAAGTGCCAATTTTTACGCATAAAGCGAGTTTGCTCGGAGATAAAAGATTATTGGAAGCATGCTAATAATTTCATTCGGCTTTATGATAACCGAGGCTATCAAGAATCGTTACTGAAAGAAAAATTACGAATGAAATAGCTAAAAATGAAGATTACCATACGAGGCCAAAACTCCGAAAAACACACTAAAAATTCTGAGAGAATTCCATTAGTTATCATTTAGCACCGAAATTTTGCTGGGATTTCGAAAATACTACACGACAGTTATAACACATTCTGCAAAAATATCTGCGTTTTAAAGTGATTTTCTATAAGCGTTCCGGGATTGCAAGGGAAATATTTGTCGCAGATTACTTCCACAAAGCAGAGAATAAATCCCTAAGTACAGACTCGAACATCGGGAGCAGAAAGATATGCCGAAAACTCGATTCACAGGTACTATCTCACAAAACATAATGCACACCCAGTCAGAAAAATAACTCATTTTCCAACAAACGCGGTAGCCAAAATGCACTAATGTTTTCTCTCCCGATTCGAGAACACCAGCTGCTTTTATCGGCCGAGCATTTTTTCCATTCGTCGACAACTGGGAGAGGACGCCCAATTTTTGCATATGAAAATACTTTTATGGTGACTCCTGTCACTGACTTGTTTTTTAATTTAAATATTCCATCTTCAGCATGTCATGCGGAATACATGCTCTTTTTTTTAATATGCAATTTTCTTTTTCGCCACATTTTCCGTCGTAGGATACACGCAACACACTGTCACTTGGTTTGATGAGGTAAGTCGCCGTTTTCTTCGCTATATTTTCCCAAACCCGCCTATAGTTTCTTTCAAAAAGAAATAAAAACACCAAACAAATTTCAACAAATATAAGCATCCATACACAAAAAACAACATTGGAATTTGGAATCGTTGTACCCCCCAAAAACATTCATAGAAAGGAAAGACACTGGTCGTTGTGCAAGAATATGAGTCAAAATAATTCTATCAAAAATTCAAAGAGAAAGATCACGATTTTTATAGAGGGTGGTAACTGTCTGATTACCATTTAATATACGCTGCCCAATGTGCCAAACATAACTTGATTTATGTGGGTTGCACAAAAGAAAAAATAAGTAAAAGACTCAATAGATATAAGTATGATGTTAGACACAATAATGTGACATCAACGGAGATTGCAGAACATTTTATTACAAATGACTGTAATTTCGACAAAAATCTTTAGGTGCGAATTTTGAAAAAAATTAATTCAGAAATCTACCAACCTTTCGACCCATTAAAACGCATGAGGATAGTTACGTAAGCAAATTACTAACTACCCGCCCCGGAATGACAGAAGAGTTCCATAAGATTGATACTAAGATGTTTGATTAGTTCCTCTTGGTTACTAATCAACTAAGGAAAAATTTCAAGATGGAAAAGATCACCATCATAAAACACGTTTTAGTTGCATGACTTCAGGCGGTGGGGGGCGTTTTCTTCGTTTTGACTCGTTCATTACCAGGACAGCCATTTTTTTTTTTTCATTAGAAGACGAGCAACGTTTGTGCAATGACTTTTAATTTTTTGTATATATATATATATATATATATAAATAGTTGAAAAATTTTTTTCAAAAGAATTGTTTAAATATAACTTGAAGAAGACAGACATACTGTCGAAATATTGTTTAACATTGTCAAACACTCCGTTGTTTCGTTTCTTTATCTTTTCTTAAATTGCGCTCTTTTCTTAAGTGTTGAAAAATATTGAAAGAGTGACGTCAATCATTTTGTTTAATAATAATAATAATAATAATAATAATAATAATAATAATAATAACGGAATTAACGCAGTAATGTATAAAGATTCCTCCATTTTTTCCTACTCTTCATTTTTTTCACACCTTTCATTTTTTAGCAAAGTCTCTGAAGGAGATGGAAAATGCGAAACGATCTTCAGGAATAGCAAAGTAAAAATAGATATAAACAGTAAGAAATCTGAATAAAGTAGGTTTACATAATAATATATATATATATATTTATTAAAGACATTTTTTATGTTTAACGTTGTTATTTATAGATACAAGTATTTAAGCAAATGCTCTGTTTATGATAAACAGTATTAAATAACATTTACCGGCCAGAATACTTGTATCTATAAATAACAACGTTAAACATAAAAAATGTCTTTAATAAATAAATTGTCGGACCTTGTCCATTTCTTAATATATGACGTCATTTGTTTACATTCGATACGCCAGAGCAGTTATGAATGTACGAGATTCATGGAAGATTGAAGTTTATAAGCAGTAAATTCGACCTTGTCTACCGAACGCTTCTTTGTAGCCTATCGGTAAGGCACGTCAGCGTATATGACGGTTCCGTATAGGATGCAGGTTCGAATCCTGTCAAAGAACGAATATTTTCTATTCAGGCCGGTAAATGTTATTTAATACTGTTTATCATAAACAGAACATTTGCTTAAATACTTGTATCTATAAATAACAACGTTAAACATAAAAAATGTCTTTAATAAATAAATTGTCGGACCTTGTCCATTTCTTAATATATATATATATATATATATATATATAGAGAGAGAGAGATAGATAGATAGTGAACGAAACGGAATAGATAGATAGACAGATAGTGAACAAAACGAGAGAGAAACTGAACAAAACGGAATAGATAGATAATGAACAAAAAGAGATAGAGAGATAGATAGGTAGATAGATAAATAGACAGACAGACAGACAAGCAGATAGATAGATAATGAAAAAAAAAGGGAAAGATAGATGGATAATGAAAAAAAGGGATAGATAGATAGTGAACAAGAAGGAATAGAGAGATAGTGAACAAAACGCGATAGTGAATAAAACGTGATAGATAGATAGTGATCAAATCGGGATGGATAGATAGATAGTGAGAGAGATAATAAGTTGATATAAACAGAGCGAGATCGCTAAATCGTACGATGGATAGATAGATATGTAGATAGATATATAGATATGAATAAACTGAGAGAGATCGATATGAACAGCTATGGATAAAAAGACAGATATAAATAATTTTAGATAGACAATACGTGTCGAGAGGTTCCCCTATTGTCCAGTGCAAATTCTTCCCGGCCTTTTGAACAGAAGTAGAGTGTTGTCCCTTGTTGCCTGATTCGGAATGGATTTCCGGTTCTTTCTAAATTCTTCTCTTTCTCTTTCACATCTATAAGTTTACCATTCGTCCATGCTTAGAATATTCCTGCCATATATGCTCCAATACCCATGCTATTTAATTTGACCTCCTTGATAAGATCCAAAAAAGAATCATCAATATTATTTGTCCTGATACGCCGTTCGGCTTCAGTCACTTTCCCACCGCCTTAAGGTTTCCTCGCTGTGTCTTTTCTATAAATACTGTCGTAGTAATTGTTCCGATGAGCTCCTTGTTACTGAGGCTATTATGGTGGATGTAGTAAGAATGCGTTGTTTTGGTGTTAGTAATATTGTTTGTATGTTTGAGTTAGTGTTTGTGGCTCGCTAAGTTCAAATTTAAAACAGATGGAGACCGTCCTCTTCCCCATACCTCATTTTGGCCTTGTGCCATATTTCTGTACATAGCAAAATAAATATCACTCTTTGTTATTGGGGCTAGATTTTAATTGTTGTTTTTATTCCCCTCCCACCCACATACAATGAATTGTACATATGGGGACGAGTTAGGATTTTTATAGAGACATGGGGTATTATGGTGAATGTAGTAAGAAAAGTGTTGTGGATTCCGAGGTAAATTCGCTCTCCAATGAAGAACAAACGCAATAATTAAATATAAGAAATAAAATGTATTTACACAATCATACAAAGGGTAATACTGTTAGTAAATCCAGGAACGCGGTTAGTAGCAAATACAGATAGATATATACAGTCTCGAAGTAGGACTTCCTTAGAGTCTACGTGCTTGTAACTGACTTCTACAAGAGGCTACCTCACCCTATCTACGTTCGTATATTCTCTCTCTTTCTGACTACCCCTTCTGACTGTCTAACTCTGGGTATTTAACGGCAGGAATCCAGGTACACTGGTAGAGTCCACTTATATGAAAAAGGGGAGGACCCCATAACAAAAAGTAAGAAAGAATGCGTTGTTTTGGTGTTAGGAATATTGTCTGTATGTTTGGGGTAGTGTTTCTGGTTAGCTAAGTTTAATATTAAGACAAAAGAAGACCGTCCTTTTCCCCATCACCATTTTTGGCCTCGTGCCACATTTTCTGTATTTGAAGCGGAAATAAATATCGCTTTTCGTTATAGCCATGGTTTAATTTCCCCATCTCCTCCCTCGTTAGGTGGTGTGGTCAGTGATGTCAGTTCTCTGGTGGTTGCGGGGCACCTTTCGTTTCGGGTGAGATTTTTGTATTTGTTGTTGTGTTTGAATGAGTGCGTGGTTGAGTGAGTGTTGTGGGACGAATGGATGTTTTATATTATTAAAGTCTCGCATTGATTTCGTCTAATTAACTGATGTTTCTGCCACATTTAAGGATTGTGCGTGTGTGGGGGGTATTACTAATATTATTTTGTTTAGTTCCTTGTATATAGTTTTGTTCATTTTTAAAAAATATTCATTAGGGTTTAGAGTTTTAAATTGTAATTTTATTCCCCTCTCTCTAAAGACAATGAATTGTACATATGTGGACAAGTTAGGACTTTCATAGAGACAATGAGGTATTATGGTGAATGTAGCGAGCAAGGTAAGTAAAATGCGTTATTTTGATGTGTTGTGGTACGATCCGCCTAATTTACATAGTGGATTACCGACCATATAAATATGGTTGGTACCGGGAAGACGGGGGAAGGAAGAAGAGATCCAATCCAGAGACTCTGCCCGACTGCGACTAAGTCAACCCATTCTACAGGAACGGTCTTCCCAAGAATATACCAAAACTAACTGTAAATATTGTGTACACTTTCTTGTGTCAATACATTTTGTTTAAGTACATTTTGTGTTGTATTATTATTATTCCATGCTTTATTCAAGTTTCAACATGATGTAAGTATATTGTTGTATATTTGGGTCAGTGTTTGTGGCTCGCTAAGTTTAACGTTAAAACAAATGAAGACCGCTCTTTTCCCCATTGTGGCCTTGTGCCACATTTTGTATTTGTACAAATAAATACTGCTCTTCTTTATAGTATCTTGCTTTTATGAATTTAAGCGCAGTACTAGAGTGGCATCGAGATCTCATCAATTTACAGATGAGCTGGCTAGATGTAGCCGTAAATTCTATGCTAACAGTTGCTTTTCTCGCACTTCTCTATCGTGGAACTCCCTTCTGGCTCCACGCTTTCCAGTTAACATTAATCTGCGAAAATTTAAACACAATATCAATCGCTATCTACTTCCTCCTGAATATCCTATCTTCTCCCTGCTCATTATTAACTAGCAGTAGAGCCCGGCGTTGCCCGGGGATGTAACAGTAAGAGATAGATGAAGTATCGACCATCATAAAGACTGAAAAATAAAATTGACAAAGATTATTGTTTAAGGTTGACAGACACGCATGTCCTCATTAGTTTTTTTTTTTAAATTTTTTTACGAATTGGTCAAACCCAAACTCAAACAAAAACATTGTTTTCAGTCGTTATGAGTCTACCGATTGAATAGAATTTTATTATAAACAATTGTCTTGTAAATGGAATTTTTAAAGCATTCTGAATGTAAAAATAAAGAAAAAAGTGTGCAAGACAATAAGAAACACTACCTGCCCCCAAAAAGTGAAGTTTTGTTGAAATCGGTTGAAAAATGTAGGAAATCCGATCCCATATATAAACGAAAACACACACACACAGAAACAACCTGGGTTTTATAATAAGTATAACTCGATATGAGTTGTCCCCCTTTCATTCTGTGAAAGCAATGCCACTTAATCGTGTTTTCAAATTGATTTTGTGCAAAAACAATTGTGTTTTTCCAATTTTGGGCGCCGTCAGAACCACCACAAGGTAATTTTACGTAGTCCTGTGAAGTTTTGTTGAAATCGGTTGAAAAATGTAGGAAATCCAATCCAATATATAAACGTACACACACACACACACACACACACACACACACACACACACACACACACACACACACACACACACAACCTGGGTTTTATAATAAGTATGATGCTTCTGTTCGTAATTTTCCTATAACCTGTAACTCCTTGTATCTTAGCGGCTTTATTTCTTTAGATAGGTAATACCGTTTAAAAAATGTAACCCCTTGCGTCTTTGAGGCATTATAGCCTTCCTTGTAGTAAATTGGTTAAAAATATGATACAGAGGCAGATAGGTACGAAGGAAGTTAGACAGATAGCTATGAATAAAACTAGAGAGGTAGCTAAGGATACACTGGGGTAGATAGATACTTATGAACAGATTAAGAGATTAATACTTATATAAATATGAACAAATTGATACAGATAGATAGTTATGAACAGGTGGAGATACGAATGTAGTAAGCCAGAGAGAAATTTACATATAGAAAGATAGGAATAAATAGATGAATAGATACATATGAATATATGTAGATATAATTGTAGATACATATTTACAGTAAGAAAGGAAAAGGAGAGATTGACATGAATACCAGGAGATAGATATGAACAAAATATATATATATATATATATATATATATATATATATATATATATATATATAAATCTCCATAGACAAGCAAACTAGACGATGGCCAATACATCTTCCGTTTCATTTTTGACACCCCCAACTTTCCCCGACTTGACACCTTGAAAGTATCTCTATACCGCTACTTATTATAAACACCCTACACTCGCCTACCCAATTTAGACAATTCACCATAGCTGTTACCATGGGGATTTTGATTTAAATTTTAAAACAAGTAAATTTCAGATATACGTTATTCCAAAAAAAATTTCGTTTGAAGATGGAACGGAGCCCATTTTACTTTCAACTCAATTTAATTTAAAGGATTATATTGAAGTTTTCGGCTCTTGTTTTGAAACATGAGACCTCTTATGTAGCGATTTGGAATCCTATTTTTAAATAAATAATTATATATATATATATATATATATATATATGAACAGACTGAGATATATAGATAAAAATAGATATAAACAGATTGAAATAGATAGGTAGTTACATATGAACTGTCTAATAATTAGTATGATCACTACAAAGTAGAGCAATGCATTATTATTTTTATTATAAGAGATTATAACAAAAATATGTTGCAATCGCTACACAATAGCTTTCGTGTTTCGACATTATCTTGTGCCTCTTCAGACGATGGTAATTCACTTACCAGTTAAAAAATAATCATCTGTAATAGGACAGAATCAAGGGGAATATAATCGAATTATAGTGATAAGCAAATGTAGTCGACGAGTTTTAGTAGTAATAATATTATTGCATTTATTCCGTTTATTGCGTTCGTTGAACACATTCTGCAATCATTTTGAGATTGTTCATGTTTGTTATTATCGAGCGAACATTATTTTTTTCTTTAGACAGCTTGGTTTCTTCACTGAAACAATGTTATCATATCAGTGTACAGAGAAAATTAGACAGTAACAAATATGAAAATCAGTGTGGCTAACCACATATATATATATATATATATATATATATATATATATATACATGCATGTATGTAGAGAGCGACAGAGACTGAAAGATAGTGAAAGAAAGAGAGATAAACAGAGAGAGAAATAGAGAGAGAGAGAGATATGGTAACAGCAACTGATCGATTCCATAGATAATATGGTGCGTTGAAAACAACTCCATTTTCAACAAAAAGCGATAGACTCCGAAAAATGATAAATTTTTAATGCATGGAAGGAAGAAAAAAAATAGACAAAACGAGGAAAACATTTTTTTTTTATTTCCGAAGAGTTTTGTTTCAGCCAGATTGTAATTCCATAGAAAGAGGATTTTTTGAGAAAATAACACACTGCTGAACTCAAGATATGAAATATTATATGGACAAAATGTAATATACACATGATACGATAGACTAACAGACATGAAAAAAGAAAAGAGTAACACACACACACACACACACACACATATATATATATATATATACTCTATTATATATATATATATATATATATATATATATATATATATATATATATGCCAATGAGAAAGAGTAGAGGAAGTAAAATTCCACTGTTCATAGCATTTACTTTTAAAAAGAAGTGGTCAATACAAAGTAAAGCGATTTATTATTATTTTTTATTATAAGAGATTTATAAGAAAAACATGTTGAAATCGCTGCATAATTGCGTTCGTGTTTCGGTATTAAGTTGTGCCTCTTCAGGCGATGGTAACTAACTCAAAAGTTACTTACCATCGTCTGAAGAGGCACAAAGTTGCCGAAACATGAAAGCTACTGTGTAGTGATTTCAACATGTTTTAGTTATAATCCTTATAATGAAAATATATATATATATATATATATATATATATATATATATATATATATGAAGAAATATAGTCTTAAGATGTGCTATATTTATGGGATAAAGTGCCTCAATATCAGAGATAGAGCGTGTGTAAATATTAAAGTGAACATAGAAGTCAACACTTAGAGGCGATAGTCTGTTTCATGCTAGATGCAATCGACAGGTGGCCAGAGGATTGCATGAAACAGACTGTCACCTCAAAGTGTTGACTTCTATGTTCACTTTTATATATATATATATATATATATATATATAGTAATTTTCAAATTTGACATGATTTCGTATTTCTATACATATCATTACAAATGCCCTAGAGTCAAATTGCCAATTTGTCTATGGGAAACTATTGACTTAAAGTATGCATAGGATTGATTTTCCGGTGGAAGAGGTGTTCGATTCCTGTTGGAGGACACGAAGGAACATTTTTCATTACTATGACTTTTCGATATATGCCAGTTTCCCACTAAAAATAGTATATATATATATATATATATATATATATATATATATATATATATATATAAAATGTCCGATAAAAAATGTAACGGGACTGTTGCTATGGTGTCAGAAATAAAGTTTCCAGAGTGAAGCTGCTTGGTACAAAATGGCATTGAACACTGTTATTATATATATATACAGTTCAAACGCTCCTTAAGGAACTCTTCCTGATCAAACCGAACTCATAAATAATTACATCGGTTACACAACTACATCCTTATCCAGACGCCTTACGTTACCCCTATCTGATCAGAGCTCTATTAGAACCCATTTAAACACACACACACAAACTTACCAAACTCCATTAGAAACATACTAGTAGAAAACACAACTATGATAACTTCATCCAACTGTAAAAAAAAGTTTGAAAATTATGGAAGGTTTAATAATAAAAAAGAAAAAGCCAACTCTTAACAACATTAACTACGAAAAAGGCCACAATGTGCTAACCGTATTCGGAAATGAAAAACATCTCTATAACACACTAAAACATACACATAATGCATAGACTTAATTAAGCCGAAAAATTGAATCATCCTTGATAATGGCTAAAGGTATAGCCGAGAGTGCTCGGAACTATAAAAATATTTTGTACATTTATACATGCTCTTTGTCCAGAAAAGAAAGCTCTTGTCCGAACACAAGAAAAATTAAATAAAATGCTTAACCGTAGTACCTTGTCTGTCATTTTTAATGAAACATGCATATATATATATATATATATATATATATATATATATATATATATATATATTCCTTCGTTGTAAAACTGGACGTAAATTTACTGTGGCTGAAGTAAGAATTAAAACACTTTCTAGACATTTTCCTTTAGTGAATTATTTTCTTTTCAGGAGACTCGGATTTTTATGCCAAAATTGTGGTCAGTTTCGTTATGGTAAACAAGCGATGAGTTTTCTGTGTTATTTTTATTTATTTTTTTCTCCAATATATTCTTTCTGTGAAACGTCAAAATCTTGATGACATAATTATTTTGCTTTTTGGAAGTCTTCAAGTGAATATGAAGAAAGACGAGACTATAAAACTGAACAACTCATGGAACACAGTTAAGGCTCACTCCAAATTAACAGAAAACCCTGGGAAGGTTGAAGACTACAACGACAGAATTTATGTGAATATTATTTCTGAAAAAGTCATAAAAACGCAAGAAAGAATTTCAAGCCAAAACAGGGAAAACTAAAGAATATATATATATATATATATATATATATATATATATATATATATATATATATATATATATATATATATATAGCTTTGGAGCGGGTAGAATGGAGATCAACGTGTTTTAGTGGACTCAGCAATTTTCAATCTGTTTGTCTGAATCATCTTCATGAAATGAGAGCAAGATCTAAACGGTCAAGCAATCTAACAGTGATCTCATCTCACAATCCTCACACTTTCTCCATATGTGGCCTCCTTTGTAAATCTCTAGCGGGTCTTAAATGCCACTTAAGATTAGCGCATAAACTTTCATAACTGAATCAATAAGCTGGCAGATACTCATAAGTCGAAAGCGACGGGAGAGACTCCATTATATATATATGCCAAGCATAGTGACACGTAATACGTAAATTTGCTGTCGCTGAACTAGTCATTAAAACACTTTCTAAACATTATCGTCTTAGTGAATTCTTTTTTATAGTAGCATTTTTTATGTCAATATTTGAGCCTCGGTTCTTTCTTCGAATGTGGTTTGGACCTGAGGCCGAGGACACGTTAAGCATACATGTTTTTTGGGAAGGAAGTGGTCAGGGGACCAGCTAAACAGAGACTCCATGACCACATCTAGTCATGAGACTGGTTGTCTTATACGGGGTCTACGAAGAATTTTTAGCCGAGCCTACGGGATCGGATACTTCACATTAAATTCGGCCTTGTGCCACATCTGACCGCGTTGGGAGATTAGTAGATATCCTGCAGTTGGTAATTCATTGAATTTTGATACCTTAATCTTGTTCCCAGTCCTTCTCTGTATCCTTTCCTCAAGCACGCATCTTGTTCTCAACCCTCTGTAACCCCATTGCGTGCTAGTCGCGTTCTCGCCTTGCTTGGGGTGAATTGCTTCAAAAAAATCCGATATGGGTCAACATTTTACAAGCTTTGACACATCCTGCATATAAAAAAGTGGCGTTTTGTTATGAAAGGCAAGCAGAGGTCATAAGAATGACATTAAAAAGCTATAATCTTAGGAGATTTTTTTTCTTCTTCCCAAATCTGTGTACATCCCGTTCGGCTGATCATGTGACCTTTAACAGCCAATCATTGAAGCGTATTATCTACAGAAAGACTAGATGCGTTCACCCTTCAGTGGCTGTCTCTCTTTTATGAGTCGAGTAGTTTCATGCTTGACTATGGCTCACCAATTTCATGTCTTCTGTAGCTTCAAATAGCCGCTGTCTCTTTACCACAAGTCCCACAACTCCCACTCCCAGTCCGCTCGTCCATTTAAATTTACTTGTTAGATGGACTATTCTCTCAGCCTATTTTATTTTTATTGGGCCTTGTGAGTCTTAAATTCTCCAAATCGTCTCCCTCTTTAAACTTGTGTGTATAAATTATTTTTTGTTTTCTGATTTTCCATAAATAATGTTCGATCAGCAAGGCTTCCGATCGGGAGATCGTAGATTTTGAGGAAGGTGGAACAACATCTTAATTGTGGTTGTTCCTAGATCCACCCTGACCCGGGGTGGTAGCACATGTTTCCAGCTATGTGCATATAGTGGACTCCCAAGCAAAAGTCAAAACAATTTTATACTAAGAATACCAGCAATAAATTTATATAAAAAAATTTACCAACAATACTTGAAATTTTTGTAGTGAAATCGCCAGCAGGAAATTTCAGTAGTAAGATTACTATCAATGGCTTTTTATAGTAAAATGATCGACAATACATTTTTATAGTAAAATTATCAAGAAAACATTATATTGGAAAATGAACAAAAATTCATTTTATAGTAAAGTGACCAACAATATTTATAGTAAAATTAACATCAATAACTTTTTATAGTAAAATGATCGACAATACATTTTTATAGCAAAATTATCAAGAAAACTTTATATTGGAAAATGAACAACAATGCATTTTATAGTATAGTGACTAACAATAGACTTTATAGTAAAATGAACATAAATACCCTTTTATACTAAAATGATCAACAGTAGATTTTATAGTAAAATTATCATGAAAACATTTTATAGGAAAATGACCAAAAAATTCCTCTTTAAACTTGTATGTCTAAATTCTTTTTTGTTTTCTGATTTTCCATAAATAATGTTCCGTCTGTAAGGCCTCCGATCGGTAAATCGTAGATTTTGAGGAACGTGGAACAACCTCTTAAATGCTGTTGTTCCTAGATCAACCCTGACCCGTTATGTTTCCAGCTATGGGCATATGGTGGACTCCCAAGCAAAAGTCAAAACAAATTATTATATAGCAAAATTGAAGACATGGCATATATTGTTAAAACAAAATAATTAAAAAAAAAATTGTTGTGGCTAATCTCATTTCTTGTAAAGAGAAACAAAATCTCTCGATTGATTCTGTAAGATTATTTGTAAATAATGCAACTAAGTAATTAAAATGTAATCCGAAAATAATGTCATTCTCTTGAATTTCTTATAAAATTTGAATTTTCATATTAAGATTTCGGCATTATATAACCCATAGATGTTTTGATATGCTGCTAAAAAAAACCGAAAATAACCAGACTAAACATATCTGGGCTGTAGATGACTAATCCTCTCTTTCAGGCCTTGACAGAGTTCGA